CGAACGGGGGGGGGGGGGAGGATTAGAGAGGTACTGATTCGCCATCAAAAGTTGTGCGTCAGGCCTACTAAATGAAAACGGTGCCCACAGTTTCTGACAAGTGTTGGCAGTCAGTATGGGCTACAACAGTCTGTATTATCCATTGGAGGCTGTATTACCAGTCTCCATTGTTTGTCATTCACGTTATATATTTACTTGTATAATATTTGCATATCCCTTAAATTATAGTAGTATACAAATTCTTTTGGCTGTATTTCTGGTGTTTTTCTGGCAAGACAGCAAAATCATGATTCACCTACGTGAAGATGCCAGATCCTGTCACTAGAGGGCGAGCTCTGCCAGCAGATCCCCCACAGCAGAGAGAAGCATTGTTCCCTGCTTTTGGGAGGATATGGGATTCACATTTCCATCGAGCATCACAGACAGTTAATTCAATACTGGGTGTGTTTCTTAGTTGTCATTGCTTTTCAATGACAACTAATAAACTGCATACTGAAATGTAAATGTGTGATTGCCACATATTTCTTCTTCTGCCTTGCTGTCATCTGGGGACCAGAGCTGTGTACATTTTCAATGAACTGAATTATCATCAGATTTAACAACTTGCCTACAAGTATACAGCAAAGGTTTATGGTATGCACATAAACATTGGTACACAGAGGGATAATCATTTTCCGATACACACCCCCACCCCTCTTCCAGTGGTCCATAACCCTCCCTGACACCCTGTTCTCTCTCTCAGTTTTGGCACGTTGCCACCCTCCCTTTCTTTCTATCCCTCTTTTGCACTGGGTCTCTCACAGTGTATTCTTTACATACCAAGCCAAGCCTCACAATAGTGCATCTACTAAAGCGAGTGGCTTAGACGGTTGCTGTGATGTTGCTGTTCCCTCTCTGTAGTGGACTCGCTCTGTGAGGAAGTGCAGCACTCAGCGCTCAGGTCTGATGGCAGAGCAGGGCAGGGGGACTGTGCAAGAGAAGAAACCAACACCACCTATCTGGGAAATCTAGAACAACGGTGGACAAAAAGATAAGGAGGAGCAGAGTCTGGGGAACTGAGATCTCGTTGTGTCTACCCACCCCCCTCTGCTTTCTCTCATATGCACACACACAGATGCACTCTCCCCTTGCCTCTCCCCTCTTTTCTCCCTGTTTGTCTCCTCCACTCTCTCCGATGCTGGTGTGGTGAGCAGCAGGACTCTCTTGGCTGAGCTGCATGGAGGCACAGGGAGGGGCAGGGAGCCCAGGTAAGAGCCATTTTCTATTCTTTCTGTTCTCTGTGTAGTGGCTTTTGTCACATTAAGCAAGGCTTGTCTTTTGAATGACTTGTGCTCTGATTTGCCTGCCTGTTGTCTTTCTTTATGCAGTATGTTCACTTTCTGAGTGGCTGGACTATGATCTTTTTGAATAATGTTTTCTATATAAGTTCATCTTAAATCATACCACAAAATTTTACTGTCAAGGGTTGGTCAGTGATATAAGTTAATATATAGTGCACTGGTACTCTATTGCTGATCATATTCCCTACCTATAGGATCCGGTTGTGGATGGTTTATTTCTACATTCAACCTTTATGTTTGATCTGTGGCCTATATGCAGGTCTTTTTAAATCCACACACTGTAGGTCAAACATACAAAAGCTGGACTGATGAATAGAAGTTGTGGTACAATAGTGGACAGATTTGGCTTTTGTGTAAAGGCCATCCAGAGAAACCTGTGCTGTGCGGTTGCACTGCACAATCCCTCAGTGCCACTATTGTACTATAACATTTAAAAGGTCGATAATTTAACTGTTCATATAGAGTGTAGGCTAAGTCTTACATTATAGGCCCATGTTGGATGGATAATAACCATGATTTTAATAAATAAAAACAACTTCTTATAATGTACAGTACAATGTGAGGCAAAGCATTAGTAGTTTATGTGTCAGTATATGGCATTAGCTGCAGCTGAACCTACAGTGTTCATTCAACCACTGATAAAATGTCGCTTTATTACTCTATTGCACCATGAAGTAAAATAATGCCTGTGCAGCCCCTACAAGTTGCAGTTTCAGCAGATACCCACAGTCACAGCATAGTATTTATTTATGGAAAGTGATTTTTCTTTTGTTTCATGACTTTGTTCCACTTATCACTGTTTAGATACTGTATCTGATGGCCAGAATTACCTGCCCCATGACAAACTGGCATATTATCTGTTCATTAAGACAAGACTGAATTAGAGGAAACATCATTAACATGATATATCACAAAACAGTGTGACATTGTATCATGGCACACACAGCAACAGCTCAAAACCAACAGCTGTTTAAATTAAAATTAGCAGTGTAAAAAATATTTCTAGTCCTACCCATGAGGATTAGAAATAGTACCAATAGAAAATACACTAAAAACACTAGAAATAACAAGATACAAGACACAAAGGAACACAAAGCACAATGACCTGATCAATGACCTGGCAAACAGGGTATTAGGAGAGCATGTTGATTTCTTCTACCTGCACTACACAGTCAAATGCTGACTGATTTATTGACCCGGAGTTGTAGTCACCCCCACCCCCTCAATCAGCAGGAGCTCATTCCAGAGGAATGGGGCGTGATAAGAAACGACCAGCTGACTTCTTTTTAATTTTGGGAACAGAGACAAGGCCTGCATTCTGAGAAAAGAGGTACAGGCTGGAATATAAGGGCTCAGTAAATTGGACAGGTACAGAGGGGCAGTTCCATGCAGGATTTGCAGGTCATTAGAACCACCATGAAGTCACATCGAACTTGGATAGGGAGCAAATGAAGGGAAAGCAGAATCAGAACCAGAATGTGACACCTAAATTCTTAACTGTCTGCTTTTGAGCGATAACACATTTGTTGAGAGTTACTTTTAATTTATCATACTTGTGTCTGCGTCGGGCTGGCCCAGTGACCTCCATCTCAGTTTTATTTGAATTTAGAACGAGGACATTTCTTTAAGTGACACACAGTAAAAGCATAAAGGAAATTTTTGTTTCCAAACATTTTATACTATAGTGACAAAATGTCTATAGGTGTGTTTTTTATCAACAGAAATAGCTGATGACTTTGGAATTCTGTAACTTAGACAATCCAGTCCTTGTTACAGCTGATGGGCTGGCTGGATGGGTAGTAGAAAGGTGAGGGGCAGTAATTCAGCACAATTTCTCAGGTAGTGTTTACTAAAGATAGTGACGGTAATGGAAAACAAAGCTGCTGGTAGACAGTCCAAATATTGAACAAACATTTCATTATAACAGCAAAGGTAACACTATAGTGTTTCAGTCTGTGTGGCTCCTCGCCTGGGAAATCAATCAATAGTCAGCAATGAACAATGGACTTTTCACAGTGAAATCATGTACAGTAGCTTGGCATCAGCTCTAACACACTTCTCACATGAAATGCAACAGTCTAGAAATATACGGCAAACAGAAACGATACCAGCCATCTGGTGAGACCCACTGGGAAGCTGCTATACTCCCACACTACCTTCCATCAACATGCTGTCATAAGCCATACTGATCATTTTTGCTAAATGTTGCTCCATACACACAGATGAGTTTCTTTTCCTGTTAAATGTCATTTACCACACCAGTTTACTTTGTTTGATAAACATGCATGATTTCACCCAACATGCTAGATGTGCAGCAATAGAACCATCATATCACTTAGAAGAATTTCAGCCTCTTGCAATTCAGAAATTGAGGGCATTTATGCCGCAGTGATAAATGTGCTGTGCCTCTCTACTGCTGCCCTTACCTCGCTCAGCCTTATCATATATCACAGTTTGCTTTCTGCCCTGTAAAACAAGCAAATATTTAACCTTGCTCAAGTTTAACCAGTTTACAGTTTGTGTATTTACAGCATTTGAAGGAAACTTATTTTAAGTACCTTCTATTTTCATACTTTGTTGATAGTCTGCGTGAACTTGGTTTTCTATTGTGAATAGATGTTTGAGATGTTTTTCAGCTGGCTTGAGAGAAGAGCATATTCATGCTCTCATAATACATTCTCTTTATGGAAACATTAAATGGCCGAATTTAACATCTGCTCACAGCCAAGTAAACGTTTCTCCTTGCAAGGAATCATACAGTACATCTATAAATCTTTAATGCTGTCTAAACCCATGTACAAATATGTAAAAATAATTGATACAATACTGACAGAAGATGGAGACACGCATATGTGAAGAATATATTAACGCGCAAACAGACACACAAGATATTTACGACAGAGAGGTGATAAAATGCCTGGGGGTTAATTTTAGGATTAGGGTACTGTATGGGATGGAAGACATTTAACAGTGGTTACACAAATATGACTGACAGATAAACACTTCTTTCAGTACTTTGGATCTCTTAAGCAATTTGTTTCTCTTCATTAGATCTACACCTGAGATCTCCAGTAACTTAAGCAGAGTAATTAGGCCAGCATCACCAATGTAGTCCTTTATTAAAAGACTAGAAACATATGCTCAGTGGCTTTGATTTTTACTGCTGCCTTTCACACTGTACTTGTGTTTATGTGTACTGACAGAGCCCAGTAAAGACATCCAGAAACTGTTGAAGCCCTCCAGCTCAGGTGACCTGTCCAAGGAGTTGTTCCAGCACCCAGCAGAGGAGGAGGAGGGTTGTCTGTCAGGGCACACTGCTAGCCTTCTGCACATGACTGAGAAGAGACGTGAGTACCAGAGCAAAGGGTTAAAAAAAGGGAGGAAAAAATAGGGGAGCTATTGAGTGAGAAAATGCTGAATGTTTAGTGGTAGCACAGGAGCTAAAAGAGAACCTTAAGCTACAGTAACATACAGTAACAAATGATGAATGACATAGTACAAGCCTATGGATCAATAAAGCATTAGTTATAAACATACAGTATAGTTGTGGACTATCTTCACTCAATAAAGTTCATATTTGATTTCCTCTGATCTTGAAACCCAGTGAATGATCACTGCCTATTTTAAGGATCCTGCTACCACATTCTCGAAGACCATTTCAGCTTAGCCTTAGTTGAAAAGCCTCATTGTCCATCAGTCCTGCACAGAGGGCTCCCTGTACGTGCCAGACTCAGAGGTCAGAGCAAAGAAACACGAATACTGGGGCTACACTGGTGACAGCGCAGTCTTTATCTGCTTAACTAGCTAAACACATTTCACAGAAGCAGCTCATCCTGAACCTAATGCCTGTGTTTCTGTGATTTAATGTGACCCATTAACCAGCCATGCCACCTGGCAGGTCAGCTGATAGTACATGGCAAGAGAGGTAGAGGGAGACACAAGTCATGTCAAGACAAGCATCAAGACAGATCATTTCTGGTTCAGATATTTAAACAGAACTAAAACCTATCGTAACAAAAGTTCAGCCTTTTCAGTATCACCACAATAAATACTTTACTCACTTTTCATATTTTATGGACATTATTCAGTGTTTTGTCCATAGTGCAACAAAACCACATTGCATCTTCGTCTTGAATGGTACTAAAACAAATCCCTTCCTAGTGCTGCAGTTTATTTCCAAAAAGGGAGATCACAGTTGCTCCTGACCTGCAACATTTATTTTTAGACGTCTACTTCAAAAAGACAAACACCTTAATATCCCAGACAACAACAATTTGTCAGTTGGTTTGCAGCAACTGGGTGATTGGATGGATGTGTCAAAATAGAATTTTATGGTGACTGCTGTGGAGTAGTCTGTGAAGAAGAAAGGCTGTTCTGTCTGCATTGATCTTTAATCGCAGAAATTGGGAGTTAATGGAGAGAACAAAAAACTGCTTATTTCCAGTAAACCATTGTCTTCACTTCATCTGCGCCAAGTCATCATTACAAGCTGTTCAGGTTGGTTTGATGACCTCAAAGCTCTGATGAATAGAAAGAAAAGGGGATTTCAGATCCAACATGCAAAGCACATCCCCTCTGTTCGCTTATCCCATCTCCCAGATGTGAGCTCCTCCCTCATACCCATCCTCCCTATTCTTTGTTCCCTCAGTTGAATCTGTCTGTACCTTTCTACATGCAGAGAAAGGAAACACAGAAACAGGACAAGATGAAAAAACTCTTTTCATAAAATCTGAAACTGACAGTGTACAAACAATTAATTTTATAACTATGATAGTCTCATTTAAACCCTTTTTCACTTTTCACAGGATTAAAGGGATCTTTATTTCACTCACATGAACTACAAAGGTATTATGTTTGAGATTAAGGGCATTCTGGAAAAAAATATATCGAGAAGGTGTCAAAATGGATCAGAACACACAAATGTGACTTTATGGACCATTGGGCTGTATGTTTGTTGTAAGAGGAGGTAGTGGTCTATTACATTATTCATCTGCTTCAGGCACAAACACAGTTGCTGTTTTTTTTTTTTTTTGTCTCAGCATGAATTCTTATATTGTCACTCCTCCCTACTGGTGTCTCAGGGCTTTTGGGGTGGATGCAGTTGTTTCAGTGTGTCTGCCTGGGAGAGAAAATGTGCTGATCAATTATTCACAGACAAATGGTGTGGGAGAGGGAAAAAGAAATGAGGGAGAGGTGGTTAAAAAACAAGTGCATCAGAATGAGAATAACCTTAGCTGAAAATGATACTGGGAATTCTCTTCATCTGTTGTCTCGCTATTCACTTCCCATCTTATTGCTTTACATGTACCTTCATACCTAACTTCACCTGTCCCTCGTCTCTCATCAACCTGCTTCCCCTGGTTCCTCTTCATCTCCTCCTCCACAATTTCCATCTCACTGCCTTCAGTTTCTTCACTATAAGCAAGCATCCTTCAGTCTGTTGGAAAATTAAATAAATTCACAAACGCTGTCAGAAAGCAACATGAAGTGAGGAAAAATATGAAATGAATAAACACAACAGTGCTGTATCATTCATTCTTCAGCATTTTTTCAGTAAATACAATAACCCATTATCAGACAGTTGATACAGGATAATGGACAATGCTCCGGATGGTAAATGGTTCTTACTATTGAGCCTTTCTATTGCTGAGGTTGATTATATGTCATGCACTTGTTAGTGGTGTGACAATGGAAACTGATTAGTTTAAACATCTAATGAAGTGCCATTTAGCAGCCTTTTATATTGACTGATTCTTTGACTGCAAAGGAGTAATGTGATGTCAAATCTCAGACAGCATTTTCTGTAGTCTGATGGAGTGGAGAGATGCTAAAATGCTTATGTGGGACTGATAGTGACTGAAACAAGGATAGATGAGTCAAACCTTTTATCATCTAAACAGGACACATTTTTAAAAAACACCTTTAGGTTTCTTGCTTACTGCTTTATGCTGAAGTACAACTCATTTATCAACATTTCCAGGGTTATAGAAACGAGAATCAAATAGGACGGTTCCTTATTTGTTTTAAAAAATGTCCTCACATATCCAGCATCAGAGTATGGGACTAGGGTTAATGTAGGATTTAATGGGTAATATCAGGACAAAAGTTAACGGTATTAAAGTTAATGATATTTCAAATTTGGAAAAAAAAACATGGAGAGTAGAACGGCACCATGAGGAATCCCAGAGAAGAAGATTAAGATGAGAAGCTACTCTTTTAAAGGAATGTCTTAATGGGTGGTATAACCTGGGCTTATTTTAAATGTTAAAGGTTTAAAGTGTAAAGGGATTAAATTGGCACTATCACTTCCATTCCCCTCTATCCTGCATCTTTTTCCATTTTAGTCTTTCCTTATCTTCATTGCATCTGGCTTGTGAACCAGTCCTGCTTCTAAACATGACATTAACACTGGACAGGACTGTACATTGTGAGCAGAGCAGGTTTGGGGTGAAATTAGTGGGGTGATGTGGGCTTTTGTATTTGATCATCTGGATCTCCTTTAGTTAAACATAGTTCAACAACATTTCAAAATCCAAACTCTAATTTTGCATTGCTCCCAAGGGGGATTTGTTGGGTTTTCCCTCTAATAATAGTGATAACAGTAAGGTCTAGACCTTACTCTGTAAAGTGTCCTGAGATGACTTTTGTTGTGATTTGGCGCTATACAAATAAAATTTGATTTGATTTGATTGCTCATTTCTTATTTGCATTCTGTCATATTGTCACTACTTCCTTCATTTCCATTTTTTGTGTCTCCTGGCATTTCTAGTGCTGAGTGTTTTTATTATATTTGAAATACAACACAATGACCAGCCACTGCTCCTTTTAATCAATATACAGTCTATCAGGAGGGAATGAAATGTAGCAGCAGGGGAGTGGACTCTGCTTCTTCAGCCTGCAGCATTCGCTTAAACAAGCTGAACAACAGGACACATATGACACAGGATAATAACAGCTTTGAAACTGTCACATAATCCATCGTTTTCTTCACAAAGTCAGGCCCAAAAACAACCAGTGACCTGTTTCATTCAGACTTGATGTTGCATGGCAGGCATGCATCCCTGGATTCATAAGGAAATAGAAAGCACTCCTCCATCTGCCTCAGTGTAGTCCCCAAACAGCTTTCTTGCTATAATGACAGATTAGTTCAGCTTTATTACAAAGAATTGGTTCCTAGCTTGGCTGATGCTGAGACAAGCAGATTTTTTTGGGCCCTGGCTAGAATTTATGTACGTATTACAGCATCTTTGAATGCATTTTAGTTTACCTACATTAACATTTCAGCTTAGGAGGCAGCCTGACTGGACTGCTGAGTCAGAAACATTAATTCATATCACACAGGAAAATGACCCTGTTGTTTCCTGCCTCCTGAAGAATCAGAGGCTTCAGGAATGAACAGGTGCAACACACCCAGGCAAAAAGTAGTGATCATAAAAAAAATGGCTATTTACATCTCCACTGACTTCAGCTGTTGTTTCATTTCTTCAGTCAGTGCCTGTGGTAATATGCAGTTATCGTGCTTATACAGAGCCACTGACTGACTACAGTAGTGAACTCAGAGGCAGATTCAAGAAATCTACAGTCTAAAATATCTCTGAAGAAGATTAAGTGGATAAAAGTATAAAATTCTCCGTTAAAATCAAATTTACCATAGTATCACAAGAGCAAGCTATTGAATTAATTATGAGCACAATGGAGATTCAAGAGCAGTGTTAAAGACTGGTTTGGTAAAAGGGTTGCTTTTTTTCCTGCAATGTCAGAAATAAATGTGTTGATAATATAAATGTCTTCTGAAACATCCTTCTAAACTAAAAGTGTGCTATATTCTCTCTCTGCCTCATAGAACCACTGAGTAGCGTCTCTTCTTTAGAGGTGCACTTTGACCTCTTGGATCTGACTGAGCTAACGGACATGTCTGACCAAGAACTGGCTGAGGTTTTTGCTGACTCTGATGAGGAGAACCACAACGAGTCTCCAGCAGGTAAGGCCTGCAAAAAGCTGAAATGCATATGTGTTTACAATAAATACAAATAACAAAAATAAATGAAGGTTCAATCAATAATATTTTGAATCACAACAAGGAGTTATTTCATTCTGGAAAGCAGTAGTAAAAGGAAGCAATGTTTTGTTTAGCTGGAGCTACATCATACCAGTCCCACGTTAACCAGATTTATCAGCTGCAGTAGATGGGCCTCATGCTCATAGTATGCATATTAAAGAGGTGGGCTAGTTCACTCTGCCTGTGTGTCATAGCAACAGATTCAGAATAAAGGCTAGCATATCTTTCTCCTGATTTGCAAAAAGAAGCATAAAATCTTTCTGACGGTTTATGTATGACCTGTAAGCCTCATCCTGAAAGTAGACGGGCTTTGCCTCTCAGCATGCACAAAGGATTCCATGCCAACAATAAGAATGATAAAGATGTCATACTTAAAACTCTGAAATACAGGGTTTCCCTCATGTTCTTTCTACATGCAACTATCACTCTGATTTTATCTTAGATATCCTGCAATTGAATCACCTCTTTATTCAACAACATCCATCTCTCCTGTCCTTCTCTTTTTTGTTTATCTATAATGTTCCACGTCATCGCACACCTTGTTAAGTGTGAGTTATGGTCCCAGTTGGCCATCTGTACTAAATGCCATGCTCTGAGACTTCACAGCTAATTGCTGAAATTAAGTTCATGTTTATGTCTCACTGCTGCTAGACAGCTGTAATGTAAGACAGGCTTGTAGTTGTCCAGATAATTTAAGCACCACTCTGGAGTTAGTGTAACTGATTTACTAGATGGACCATAACAACACATTTGTTTAAACTGGATGGAAAACAATTGCTATTAACAATTGTGACTTGGCATTGTAGTAACATTAGATTTCGTCTTAAATGACATTAAAATGACATGAATCACAGGTTATCCTTCTTGATGTTGATGAGAGACATGGTGAGTCAGCAGTTATGAGTCTTCCAGTCTAAGGCCTCATATCCACTGCTCAGCTTCCTGCTAATCGGGATGAAATCCTGCAGTCAGGCTACAAACAGCTGTATGCCACTGTTATGCACAGCCTCGGATTTGTGAGATTGTGCATTTCTATCTGCATAAATCATAAATAAAAACAGATCAGCCATCTGAGAATAGAGCAACCACACCCTACTTGTTGAAACATTTCATTTTGTCTAGCACCTTTCTTCAACTTGTTTCAGAAATCTCACACTTCTACCTGTGAGCTGTTTTTGTCACACACAACACAAACACAGTCCTCCTCGCCTTCACCCTCTGTCTTTTAGCCTGCCTTTATTCTTTATTCCCAGACTCTCTCTGCATGTCTGCCTCTGATATGTCTTAAAGCCAAACAGATGGATCTACTGAGATGGCTGTGCATGATTTTCAGAGACTGAGGGCCGATGTAGTAAAATATCTGCAGTGTTGTATTTGTAGGAAGACATGAAACACAACTGATTTGATTTGATTTGATTTATTCTTTCAAGCATGTAAAGACAGTTGATATGTCAACACACATATCCAACAAATGCTAATCCAAAATCAATGTGCTTATACCTAGAACATGCTTGAATGGAGTAGGAAGAAGTCAGATTTATCTAGTCCTACCCCATGACATCATCTTCCTGTCATTAGTTTGCAAGCAATAAATGATTCACTATTAAACACCCAAATTATACTAAAAAAAAAAAAAGAAAGAATATAATAGTGTTAACATCCTTACATAATACCAGTGATATATTAAGGAGGGATTACAAAATATACAGCACACCCACAATAGTCCATGTAATTAATCATTGAGCCTGTTCTTGCATATATCTTGATTGATACATATCTTTATATTTACAGTTAAACTCCTTAATTCTATTACTATTTCTATGTCCACACTTAAAATTATTCCATAGTTTTACACTACTTATGAAAATACAAAATCTTTTTGGTTGTAGGTACAGCATGAATTTTTAAAAATTTAATTGATCCTTTAAATTCTATCTACT